CCTACTCTTCTCTCTCTGTCTGTCTATACCTACTCTTCTCTCTCTGTCTGCCTATACCTACTCTTCTCTCTCTGTCTGTCTATACCTACTCTTCTCTCTCTGTCTGTCTATACCTACTCTTCTCTGTCTGTCTGCCTATACCTACTCTTCTCTCTCTGTCTGCCTATACCTACTCTTCTCTCTCTGTCTGCCTATACCTACTCTTCTCTCTCTGTCTGTCTATACCTACTCTTCTCTCTCTGTCTGTCTATACCTACTCTTCTCTCTCTGTCTACCTATACCTACTCTTCTCTCTCTGTCTGTCTATACCTACTCTTCTCTCTCTGTCTGTCTATACCTACTCTTCTCTCTCTGTCTGCCTATACCTACTCTTCTCTGTCTGTCTGCCTATACCTACTCTTCTCTCTCTGTCTGCCTATACCTACTCTTCTCTCTCTGTCTGTGTGCTCTCTCCACATTCACAGCTCAGTGCTCATCATATTTCTCTTCATGTAAACTGGACTCCTGCATAAAATATTTACATGGGAAAACTCAGAACACATCCCAACATATGGTAAACACTTTCAAACTTAGAGCAAATCAGAGGTTCTGAGGAAGGGTAGAGTCTATCAGGGAGGGTGATTACTGTTGGCCAAATGTTCAGCTTCAGAACAGACACATATGGCACAGGAGGAAGGGTTTACAACCCAGCTAGTTACCCCCAGTGATGCCCACATTGGCAGATGTCATGGAAGGGCCACTTTCACATCTATTTATTTCATTGACCATACCTTCCAAATCATTGCTGGGACACCAGCTGTAAACTGATCAGCCTGTGACCATTTTCAGGGAAGAAACTTTCTGCTATCATGTAGAGGGTGAACTATGATTTGTTGACTGGCAGTTAAAGCATTTCAAAAAGATAGGAAGGAAGTAATCTAATTCTACCCACTTTTATATACATTATCTCATTTAATATCCCATGGGAGCTCCACTTGGAGTGGTCCTATTCTATTACCATTTTATAGGTTCAAGCAGATAAAACATTATATGAGAGGTTACACAACCAGTAAGTAGCGGGACATGGTAAATTCTAGAATTCTTACCCGTCTAGCATTGCCAAATTTACTTGTATAATCAATGTTTGGAGTTTAAATTTTTTTGAAGAAGGGAGAAAGATGAGTAATTGCAACTAAAGAAGTAAAAAAAAGTCTATACCTTAAAATATGCAAAATATTGTGATAAGAAATTGAATGAGTCATAAATGAATGGAAAATATATCATGCTTATGCATTGGTGGAATAATGTTAAAATGTCTACATGTCTACATCATCCAATGTGACCTACAATGCTATCTTTATCAAAATTCCAGAGATTTCTTTCCGTAGAAATGGAAAATGATTCAAAAATTCATATAGAACAGAAAACTCGAGTAGACAAAGCAATCTTGAGCCCAAAACAACAAAGCTAGAGGCTTCACACCACCTGATTTCAAAGTCTACTATAATAGTACAGAGATCAATACAACATGGCACTGGTTGGAACACAGAAACATGAACCAGTGGGACAGAATAGAGAGCCCACAAATTAATCCAGGCATTTATGGTCAATTTAGTTTTGACAAAGTTGCCAAGGACACAGAATGAGGAAAGAAATATTCTCTTTAATAAATGGAGTCTGAGAACCTGGATATCCTAGGTCAAAGGATAAATTAGATTTTTATGCCTAATCATACACAGAAATCAGCTCACACTCTTCATACACAAAAATCAGTGTAGGCTCTAAAAGTATAAACACACTAGAAGAAACACTGGCAGTAGCTTGATGACATTTGTTGGTCTTATCAATGATTTTGAAGGCTTTACAACCTCAAAAAAAGGCAACAAAAGCAAAAATAAAAACACAATATTATGTTAAACTAAAAACTACTGTACACAGCAAAGGAAACAATTAATAGAATAAAGAGAACATCCCAGAGAATAGGAGAGAATATGTATAAACCATAAGTAGTTAATATCCAAAATACATCAGAAACACAACTGAATATCAAAAAAAAATACAAATGACTTGGTTAAAATGGGCAAATGATCTGAGAGGTACTTCTTCAAAGAGGACATGGGAAGGGCCAACAGGCTTCAAAGCAAACACCCAGTATCATTAATCATGATGGAAATGCAATAAAACCCACAGTCACCTGTCATTCCATACCTGCCAGGATGGCTGTTATAGAACCGGGAAAAGCCACAGTTGGCATGGATGCAGAAAGAAGGGAGGCTTTCTACTGAGTGTGGGAATGTGAATTGGTTCAGCCAGTCTAAAATGAATTCCTCAAAGAGTTGCAAAAATAAGAGTATCATGAAGTACTGCATGACACAAGAATCCCCGTCTGGGTGTGTAATCAAAGGGCATGAAGTGGGGATGCTGAAGAGACATCTGCTCTCTCTTGTCCATCCCATCATTCACAGCAGCCAAATATGGGACCAACCTGTGTGTAACAGCTAAATCTGAAGAACTATAAAATGATAACATTTACTTTTAGGTCCTTTCTTAAAGAAATACAGAAATTAATTTCACTATCAATCACCTGTGAAAGGGTGATTGTCTTTATTTTTTTCTATAGTTCTTAAATTATCTGGCACATTTTCAAATCTGTATGAATACATTAAAATTTTTACATAATCTAATTTAGAATAACTTTACATTCATTTAATTCCAGATGTTTTCCAATGAAAGCTTAGGGGAAAAATACACTCATAGGAGGAATGCAGAAAACGGAAGAGTTTGGGGCTGGAAGAAAAGAAAGGTGCTTTCTAGTCCAAGGTTACCATGGGTCTGAGCTCTGGCGAGTCCTTCCTGAAGCTGTTTCATGGTGGATGAACTGGGCATGTCACCACCTGCTATTGTTAAAACACTGCTGTATGAGAGGTGGACACTCCTTATTGTGAGCATGGTTCATGATTCATGGTTTGCTCTTATGGAGACATGAAGACAAATACAATGCAGTCCCTCCCTCTAGGAAAAATGAGTCGGGAGACATAAGCAAATAAAGGACAAATGGGCATTTGTGAAGAAGATGCCTGAGGAAAAGATGTCCAGGTGGAGACCATGACATTTTTCCAAGACCATGATTTCTGGTGGTGTGGGGGACTTGCCAGTCTCTTAGCCTGAACAGAAGGGGCCAAGTTAAAAGTGAGGGTGAAAAGACACCAAGAATCCTGGTTGCCAAAATGATAGGTGCTGTGCTATGGATCCACATTTTAACCTCAAAGAGGAAGGGCTATGAAGGATTCTGAAAAGGGGACAAATGATTCCAGAAAACAGATTCAAAAGCCAAATAGAGAATGGATCTGAGCTGGAAAAATTCAGCACCCACAGTACTAGCTTAGTAAAGGTAATACAAAGGTCTAAACTAAAATAAAGGCAGCCAGGATATAGAAGGACCAATTCTGAGAAATAGTATGGAATCAAGACTAAGTTTATTGTGTAAAGAAAGCAAGTGACTCAAAGACTTCTGATTTGCTTGTATAGGCAATACAATTCCTATCCATGGAGGGAGCTTGAGAAAAAAACATTTTATATATGTTGACTCTAGATGTAGACACATATACACATAGTCACACATGTATTATGTCATATAAGCACAAATAGGATGATTTGGGTAGAGGACGTGAACTATCAAAAGTAAAGGAGGAAGGCTGGGGAAGAACAGTGGTCAGCGAGTATGAGAAAGCCACAATGTCACATGTATAAGTGAAACCCATTATTCTGAATGATAGCTAAACATAATAAAACATTTAAAAATATGGAGATGATTAACAAAAGACTGTGATATTGTGGGTTTCTGAGCCTACTTAAGTTCAATCTTGAATATACCGACCTCACTGTACTTATAGAGTATCCAAGGGGTGATGGAGATTCAGTAACTAGTTGGATGGAAAGTGTTAGGTGATGCCTCCAACTATCTAAAGATAGTATTACTGGAACTCACATGTTTACTAACTGTTATAAGGCCCATTCAGCAGTAGTCTATGGGTTTCAAAGAATTAATGTATAACTTAGTCTTTACTAGATAAACTACTGTAGGCTATCTCTAACAGTTTGCAGCTTCTTGCTCATATTCATGTGGCCAGCATCTGGCTTGGATTAACAAGAGTTACCATACAGATGCAGATAGAGGACAGTGTTCTGGAACCCCTCTTCCATACAACCATACTGCCTATCACATTTTCCTCTATGCATTCTTACTTCCAGCTGCCATGGGGTCACCAAATCCTTGCTTAAATCAAATGTCCTCTGGCTCCAGGTCTCATGATGAAAAAATTTATGGAGTCTTGGACACATTACAAGTTTTACAGCTTTACAGCTGAAACCCTTCAGGTCCTCCTGACCTCTTAAAGAAAAAAATGTTTTATTTTATTGTGATTCCCAAGTGTTCTCTTAGTGTGTGCATTTTTCCAATAGAATGTCCTGTTGCTTCCAGCAATGTGTTTCATATTACCTCGAAGAGTAGGACAGCTCTGATAGAAGGAGGCCAGTCAATCTTCTTGCCAGCATCAGAGAAAATAGAATTTGCCATTGGAACCATGAGTAGTTGTTTAGATCTACAGGTTATCAGTTTTCATTTCTCTCTTACTGGGGATACCTTATATTAGACAACAAGCATACCCTAATTATTTAGAAATTATTTATATTTTCCAGATAATGATGGATATATTGGCTATGTATATGAGGCCATTAAATAATAGTATATTTAAAGATACTCCTTGAAGATATCCTATGTTTTTATAGAGTCAAAGATATAGCTAACAAAACTCTTGAATTAGACATTTCCTATATAATGTTTTATATACCTACCTACCTACACACACAAACATATATTATAACCTATTTCTATTTATCTGTCTGGTCTGTGTATGTACGTATGTATGCATATATGTATGTATTCTCTATAATCTCTTTCAGAGATTATATGTGCTATGTGTTTGACTGTGGCTTGTTATTAAAATACCAAACAGACTTACCTTGATGATGAAATCTGCTGTCAGTGGCCCAGCCATCCTCAGTATCTCTTTGTCTGGAAGTTTCTGGAAGTCCACTGTAGAATTGTCCACGAGGAAAGTGCCAGTAGAGCTCAGACTGTTTTCACCTTTAGTCCCCTGGAGTGTCTTGGTTTCCAGGTCTATATAATCAAATGCAAGAAGAGGAGAGGCAGGTATTCCTGGGTGACCACAGAACACATGCAAGCACATTTTGTGGAATTAAAATTCATGCTACTTAAGAGAGGAGCATTATTCTTTCGATAGCCAACACTATTGAAATTATAATATAAATAAGATATATAAGCATGGCTATGTCATACAGAAGATTATGTTGCAAATGAAATTATTTTAAAGCTCACTATCCAAGAATCCATGGCTCCCTGTCAAATACCCTTTGACTTTCCAATACCTCATCTGAGCATCCCAGTTTACTATAACCCAATTCCTTTGGCTAACCCACGTCTCACACACATCTAACTGATGTCTGTCCTGGTTTCCTCCAGCCCAGCGACACCCTCCAGGTTTCTTTTTGCTCATTGACGTAGGTTCAGGTGCATCCATGTTTTGTCTAAGCATCTTTGTGACTTCCTGCTCATGCACCAACATATCCCTTTATACTTTCTGTTGCTTACTGCACATACGTTATTGCTCAACTGGATAAAACAATGGTGGCCTGAGGACAGGTGAGTTCCCCTCTCTTTTGACAACTGCTTTTGACAATTAGTTTCATTCACATACGTGATATTTTATAAGTGCTTAAGCAGAACAAAATGGGTCTTAGAGCATTCATGTCTGAAATTGTTCAATCCCCTTGCTCTGGAGTTCGCAGCCTCTATTTCTTTAGTTGTTATTACATGTATCTATATACATCCCCACAACCTGCTCAGTCTATGTAACACTACTTGTATGTGTGTGAATTCAGGGCTGACCATTTGGTATTACTTATCTATATAGTGTAAGCAGCATGCTCACTGGGGAAAAGGAGACCTCATATTGCATATCATCTTTCATGAGTATTATTTGTAGTTTACCTAGCTATTGTTTAGGACAATTAAAATAGAGCCAATTCTTTGACTTTTGTTTATCTCTGTGAGAGCATTGTGTGTGTGTGTGTGTGTGTGTGTGTGTGTGTGTGTGTGTGTGTGGTGTGGGGTGTAGAGGACACATGTTGATATAGGGTGTCTTCTTCAAACACTCTGCATCTTAGTTTCTTGAGACAGGATCTCTCACTGGACTGGGGTCTCACTTACTGGGCTAAAATGGCAGGCTAATAAGGTCAGAGGGACCAGCCTGTCTCTGCCTCCAGTGCTAGGATTACACCACACACTGCTTCCTTATCTGGCTTTTTACATGGATGTTGGGGGATCTGAATTCAGATCCTTACTAACTGAGCCATCTTCCTAGACCTCCAATTCTTCAGCTCCTTAGCAATCATAAGACTAGGAAATATAGGAGACTATCATATTTATAAATACAGTACTTTGTTTTAAATATTTCTTCAGCAATATCAAGTCATTTTCCCATGTGGCAATGATCTCAGTCTGGCTATTTTATTTACGTCTCTATCACTGCTCACAAAAGTTTCATGTTGGAGTTTGGTCATTTATAGTAGCAGTTAGCCATGTCCTGTTCTCAAGTAGATAAACAAGTCATTTGGATGGTATAAGGTACTTGGTCTATATAAGGATGACTTACCAGTGTTTTCTTGTTTTGCCTAAACTGTACCTCACTTTCTCGTGACTTCACATGACCTTTCAAATGCCACCTCTTTGATTAAATGTGTTTGTTTTTAGGAAGACTTAGTAGCATATATTAACTTCTAAAGACTCTGACCTATCTTTCTTTTGTTTATCTGATTGTAAAGATCTTTATAGTCTGGTTGACAGAAAATAATCCTCGCTACTTAAACTAGCTTGGTGGGCATTATGTGGAAGAGGATGGGAAAGACAATAATTGATGTTGGGAATTTCAGAGGTGAGCAGAGTGGAGGGGACCACAAATGCTCAAGGGAACAACTGAAGGGAGTCTTTCAGTGAAAGTGAACTTCAGAGGAATTGTCTTTATTACAGACAAACATTTTCTCATTGTAATTTACAGATCTCTATCTAAATAGCACTAAACCTAAGGAATAAGATGTGGCCATGTATCACTGCCTTGGAATGACTGAAGATCAGTTCTTATAGACAAACCCTATATGGGCCAAGCTACCATTTTATCTTTAAAGCTTTATTACCTTTTAATCTCAAATCCTACCATTTATATTCAAGACATGAGGGTTCTGAATTAATACAGATAATCAATTTTCTTCAATGGTTTTCTTTAAATGTCATAGTTCATTTGTTACTTCTATATATTTGTGGATTGATGATGCTAATATTTAAAATATGGAAGGAGAAAGGAAAAGAATGGAGAAGAAAGGAATTTTAGAAAGAGGAAAAGGAAAAGAGAGGCGAGAAAAAGGAAAGTGTGACTATAGAGAAACAAGACAGAGAAGAAACAGTCACAAAGTTTTAGTGACTCAGTCACGTGTACAGCCCATGGACAACCCACTGGTTCCATCCATTTTGTATTTTTCAGGATGACTGTGCTTAGAGATAATGACTACACAGCCTTCTTCCATCTCATCAGGCAGCCAATTATAAACAGAAGCCATCAAAGCTGTCACACCACACTGCAGTGTGGAGGAGATGGGTTCTCCTGCACTTTCACTCCTTCTGGGAACACAAACAACAGTAAAAGCTAAAATTTCAAGTTCCCCAAGGGAAACAGTGGCTCTACTTACACAAATGATCTGGCCCCTTTAAAACAAGGCGGATGTGTCTGCTTCCATAAGGAATGGCAACCACGGTGTCATCCACTAGAGAGAACAGAGTGAATCTTTAAAAACACATAATCTGACACAAAATTACTGGTTGGCTCCCATACAAAGGCAGGAACAATATAAAAATTTTTTCTTATGAGAAAAATGAGAAGCCAATGCTTTAGAATCGAAATGTCTACTTTATGCAGAATAAAACATGCCAAAGAAGCTAGTTGCTGCTTAGCCTGAGGGGAATTAGGCCCCTTAAAGTAAATATGAATTTTTAAAAAGATTTGTTTTATTTTTAAATGTGAGTGAATGTGTGCGTGCGTGCGTGCGTGTGTGTGTGTGTGTGTGTGTGTGTGTGTGTGTGTGTGTCTGTTTCCAGGTGGGGATATGCGCACATGTGAGTGAAGTTGCCATGGAGACTGGAAGAGGGTGACATATCAGCTTAGAGCCCTTATGAACCACTTGACTCTGCTGCTGAAAACTGAACTCGCGTGTTCTGCAAAAGCAGTGTGTTCTTTTCATTACTAAACCACCTTTCCAGCACCCACTGCCACCCAACAAATTTCGATTTAAAAATGGATTTGCAAGGAACTCTTTTATTTTAAAATGTTATCGAATTTGCTTGGATTACAGCATTTTAAAATTAAAAATAAGTCCTAGTGTTCAGATGATGACATATTTTATCATAATTTGCACCTCTCTCTGTTAGAGTGTCTTGGTCAAGTGGGGGCAGACTAGGAAGGGGGAAAATACATTTGTGTGCTTCGAACCCTCAAAACTCTTTCTTCTCCTTCTTGACTATAAACTATGTTCATTATTAATAAATACTATGAATGCCTGGTAAATGATGATGTAATATGTCTCCATACTTACCATCTCTGTTTGGAAATACCTTTAAAAATCTGACTCTTGGTGGGATTGCAAACTTGTACAGTCATTTGGAAATCAGTATAATGGTTTCTCAGAAAATTGGGAATCAATCTACCTCAAGACCCAGCAATACTACTCTTGGACACATATCCAAAGGATGCACAGTCATACCACAAAGACATTTGCACAACTATGTTCATAGCAACATTGTTTGTAACAGCCAGAACCTGGAAACAACCTAGGTGCCCCTCAACCAAAGGCTAGATAAAGAAAATGTGGTACATTTACACAATGGAGTACTACTCAGCAACATCTTGAAATTTGCCAACAAATGGATAGTGCTAGAAAAAGCCATCCTGAGTGAGGTAACCCAGACCCAGAAAGACAAACATGGTATGTACTCACTCATAAGTGGATATTAGACATAGAGCAAAGGATAACCAGTGTACAGTTCATAACCCCGGAGAGGATAAGAAGCAAGGAGGACCCTAAGAGACACATTCATGGATCCTTCTGGGAAGAGGAATTAGACAAGATGTCTTGAGTAAATTGGCAGCATGTAGGGAGGAAGGAGGTGATAATGGAGTAGGGGAGGGGAAGGAGATAGGGGAGAACATGAGGGATCAGGAAGGTCGAGTTGGGGGAAGAATAGAGAGGGGGAACAAGGAAAGAGATACCTTGATAGAGGGAGCCGTGGCATTAGGGAAATTTCCAGGAATCCACAAGGATGACCCTAGCTGAGAATCTAAATAATAGTGGAGAGGGTACCTTAACTTCCCTTTCCCTATAATCAGATTGATGACTGCCTTAATTGTCTTCATGGAATCTTCATCCAGTAACTGATAGAAGCAGATGCAGAGATCCACAGCTAAGCACTGGACTGAACTCTTGGAGTCCAGTTGTGGAGAGGAAGGAGAAATAATATTAGGAAAAGGCTTAACATTATGATGGGGAAACCCACAGAAACAGCTGATATGAGCAAGTGGGAGCTCACTGACTCTGGACTGACAGATGAGGAATCTATGTAAGACTGAACTAGACCTTTTGAATATGGGTGACAGTTGGTGGCTTGGGCAGTCTGTGGGGCCGCTAGCAGGGGAACTGGTATTTATCCCTAGTGCATGAACTGGCTTTTCGGAGCCCATTCCCTATGGAGAGATACCTTGCTCAGCCCAGATACACCAGGGAGGGGCTTAATCCTGCTTCAAATGATGTTACAGACTTTCTTGATTCCCCAAGGGAGGCCTCACACTCTCTGAGGAGTGGATGAGGGGTAGTTTGGGGAGAAGGTGGGGGGAGTTGGAGGATGGGAAGGAGATGGAGCTGGAATTGGTGTGTAAAATAAGATTGCTTTAAAATTAAAAAATAATAACTAAAAATCTGGCTGTATCAAAGATTATTTTACCATGGATTACTCTACCTATAAATTGAGCATACATTGACATACATTCAAAAGAACAGAGAGGCTGGAGAGGTGGCTCAGTGGTTTAGAGCTCTTGCTGCTCTACCAGGGGACCTGAGTTTAGTTCCCAACCCCCACATCAGGTGGCTCAACCACCCATGATTCCAGCTCCAGGGGATCAGATACCTTTGGGCTCCCCAGGTACCTGCACTCATGTGTACATACCCATGTGTGCATACATACACTTACACATAAAAATAAATCCTTTAAACAGTACTTGGAAGTAGGTTATGTCCACCTCGTTGACATCACAGACATTATCAATGGAACGCCTTCTCTGACAATGCCTTATAATTACATTTGCTGCAGCCTCACTTTCACTTAGAAAACCGCGTCACCCATGACTGGTGACATGAACAAAGAGGATTTTATGATGAAGGAAGAGAATCTCCAGAAGCATGGTGGCTAAAACAAGGCCAAGTGGACAGAAAAGCATTTGAGACACAAAAGCAAAAGCAAGGCAAGTTCTTTAGAATGATCCATTATATCCAGAAATTATGTGTGAATGTCTATTCCTGCTTATATTTCTAACATCAGACATCATCATAGCATTGGGTAGTTCGGTTTAAATAAAAGATCCCCAGGGGAGGTTAGTTTCAGATAATGAGTCACTGAAGTTATATAATGATTCTCATTCAGTTCCTATGCTTCCTAAAACAAGACACCATCTAATACTGCCATACACACATATGAATAGCAGACACGCATACAGATATGTTGCCTGGAACTCAGTAGGCATTTAATACATTTATTTTCCTCCCTTAGTCAAAGACTGTAGTGATATATTATTTATGACTTTTTAAAGCATGACTAAAGATTCAGAAAAGCAAAATCAGCCACAAGTCTTAGAAGCCAGGCACATACCGCTAGTCCCAGCAGCCAGAAGCTAGGAGGTGGTGGTACACACCTTTGAACCTAGGACTCAGGATTAAGAGATAGACGGATCTCTATAAAGGCCATCCAGATCTACACAAGAGAGAATCAGTATAAAAGAGAATTCTCTCTCACACCTTTAATCCCAACATTAGGGAAGTACACCTTTAATCCCAACATTAGGGAAGTACATAGGACAGAAACAAGGTCTCAGAGAGGAATTTGTTCTCTAGCCACACTGAGGAGAGGCATCAGTTTGAGACTTGGTGAAGAGCTCGTGTGTGGATCAGCCCTTTCAGCCTGAGGTAGAGGTAAAATCTAGTGGCTGGCTGCTTTGCTATTCTGACCTTCAGCTTGAAGTTTGAATCTCAATATCAGTATCTGGGTCATTTATTTATTCATGTTACACAAGACTTCTTAAGAATTGGGGCAGAGAAGCTGAGAGATGGCTCAGTGGTTAAGAGCAGTGGTTGCTCTTCCAGAGGTTCTGGGTTCAATTTCCAGCACCCACATGACAGTTCACAATGTCTCTAACTTCAGTTTCAGTACCTTTTTCTGCTCTCCACAGGCACCAGGCATGCACTGAGATGAATTTTTTTATGTACCATCAAACACTGCAGGTTCCCTAGGACATAACCTGCTGATTGAGGAGGCTGAATCACGAGTCTTCATTCCTATCCTAAAGAGGTTACCTTTATTGAGGCTGTTGAATACTCTACTGACACTATAGATTTATTGTTGTTTCTAATGCCATGTGCTGTTGAATAAAAGGCTGTATTTCTGAGAACAAGGACTTTGCGGCACATAAAGCAAACTGAGTAAGGGAAAAACAGAAGAGGAACACAGGGACATTAAGGCTGGGCCTGCAGAACCTCAAGTTCCAGAAAGACGTGCATTTTGAAGTTTACAAAAGAAATGCAAAGAAGTTGAAACAATGGGATTTCTAGAAATAGTGAGTCTTTGTTTATTCATAGGTCAAATAAAGTCCAAGTGAAAGGGAAGCTTTCTGTTTGCTACTGCTATGCTCAGCTGCAGTCTTCTGACCCCCACACAGCCATGGGCCCAGCTCCTCTTTTTTAGAAGTAACTCATGTTCCACATGCTGAGGCAGCAACACTGCCTTTTGGCTGATGCACTAAAGTGTGTATGCTTCAAAGGAAGAGTAGGGAGGAACCCAGAAGGCTGCAGAGCATGTGGGGCAGGATGAGGAAAGCCCACCAGACAAGGGGGAAGAAATATCTTTTGACACCCTTCTGCATGTGCCCAGTCAAAGAGGAAAATGGGTTAACACAGGTGCTAGAGGGAGAGCACAGCGCAGAAGTTGGGGAGCCACAGTGTGCTCTTGGGTTGTGAGAAGATGGCCCGGCAGTCACCAGGAATCAGTCAGTTCATTATCTTGTTCTACAAAGTTCATAAGAGTTTCTTATATGTCAAACTTTGTGTGTGTGAGAGAGTAAGGAATAAAATAAATGAGTGAACCGTTAGCTCCAAAGACAGGTCCTGAAGAAATGGCTTCAGGAAAAAATAGGGAATCCTTTTGACTACACCCTACTCAGAGAAATTCCCAAGCCCTTTCGGTAGTTTCTATTATTTCTTTAGCAACCCTGAATCAAAGAAACCATTCTGTTTAACTCAGGGTATGTCCAACATGTATTTCATAAGAATTGTTAGTATCACTTGATGTATGTCAGAGCATAGCTTAGGGAATAAGCTCCTAAGAAGTGAGTTCTAAACACACACACACACACACACACACACACACACACACACACACACACACATATATATATATATATATGCAATCTTAATTGAACCCAGTAGGTTGTATACACAGTCTATACTGA